CAAATGTTTATTATCATTTGAACAATGACAAATGAGTTCTCATAATATTTAAACGCAAGCACCTCTGAAATTACCAATAATTCGCTCCATTTCCAACTGGAACCGCTCTCATACAATAACAATACAAATGGTGTGGTGTGTTGTGTGTGTGTGTGTGTGTGTGTGTGTGTTGTGTGGTGTGTGTGGTGTGTGTGTGTGTGTGTGTCGTTTGGAGCTATGTGCAACTCAAAGGCATATTCTCGAACAGGAGCTGCTGGACGCTAGCCATCATGTTGCGCGCACTATCCGTGCTGAGTGTGCTGACTTTCGTACCATTGTCCACTGTCTGGCTACCTGCTAAAGTCAAGTGCTCGCGCAGTTGTGGTGAAATGTCGCTCCTGCTGTTTTCATTAANAGGTCAATAAATAGGGCTGCACAGCTCTGCTTATTATCTAAAATACTTGTAATGTCATTCACCACTTTCATTGCCGCAGTGATGTTGCTATGTTTCTTTGAAAGAAACATAGCAACATCACTGCGGCAATGAAAGTGGTGAATGACATTACAAGTATTTTAGATAATAAGCAGAGCTGTGCAGCCCTATTTATTGACCTTTCCAAAGCGTTTGATACAGTCGATCATCGCATCTTAAGCAGAGGCTACTCAGTATTGGCATATCCTGCCATGCAGTAGGGTGGTTTGTTAACTACCTCTCTGAAAGGTCCCAATGTGTTCACTTTGATGGGCTCACTTCTGAGTGGTTGAACACTGCTAATGGTGTACCACAAGGTTCTGTTTTAGGTCCACTTTTATTCTCCATATATATCAACAGTTTAGGTGAAAATGTGGATGAAGCTACTTTACATTTTTATGCGGATGATACCGTGATGTATTGTGCAGGTCCCTCCATTGTTAAATTACAGGCTGTTTTTAACATTATTCAGACTCAGCTCTCTGAACTAAAGCTTCTTTAAAATGTTGATAAAACCAAGGTAATGCTCTTTTCTAAAGCTAAAAAGACACCAGAGCCTGTTTTGGATATTGTAACTGCGCAAGGAAAAATACTTGAAGTGGTTGCCTCTTACCTTGGTATCTGGCTTGATGATTGTCTCATTTTTAAACTTCAGGTCAATAACCTGCTTAAAAAGCTAAGGGTTAGGCTAGGTTTCTTTTTCAGAAACAAGTCCTGTTTCTCTTTTGAAACCAGGAAAAGGCTAGTCACTGTGACCTTTTTACCTGTGCTGGACTATGGTGATTTGTTGTATATGAATGCACCTGCACATGGCCTGAACAAGTTAGATGCCGCCTATCACAGTACACTGAGATTTGTCACAAATTGTAAAGCACTTACTCATCACTGTACACTGTATACCAAAACAGGTTTGCCATCACTTACTGTACGGAGGCTCAGTCATTGGTACACCTTTATTTATAAAGCTATGTTGAGTATTACCGTATTACCGTATTACATCTGTTCACTGATAACACAGAGAGTTGCAAGCAGCTATTGTCTGAGATTGCATGATGTAGTCTTGTTAGATGTGCCAAAAGCAAGGACTGTCTTAGGTAAGACAGCTTTTATGTGCGCAGCACCACTTGCTTGGAACAGTCTACAGCTAAAATTGAAAACTGAGCAATTGTATTCCTCTGAATGTTTTTAAAGAAAGTCTAAATGAAATGCTCATTGATACTATGGGCAAAAAAAAAAAAAGACTAAACAAAAACATGAAACATGACTGAACTCAACCCTTTTGACGGGACACAACAGAGAGCTTCGTTTGGATGTCATACACTGAAGATTTATTGGAAGTATCGGCAGGAGAATTGACAAACAAAATGGCTGGGACCCAGTAGATACAGCATCTAACCAAACCTGCCCCTGATACCACTCCTAATAGCATAATCAACATTATGCTAAGATGCTGTAAGTCCTGTACCTGGCAGGCTCAACTTGTCCTTTTATTGTCTGAAGAAAAGGTTGTTTTATTGTCATGTCTAAGACACAGCTGTTGAAGCCCAAGCCTGCCTTATCATACTGGTAGTAACAGCTCTCTCCAGGCCCTTTGCCTGCCAAAGAGAGAGTGAGAGGAGAGGTGAAAGCTAAGATGCTTAAAAGTCAAGGGTCATATGAATAATTCCCTATCAGCAGCAGAGTGCATGAAAAAGGTGGGTTGATAGGAAATGTAGCTTCACTCTAATGCATGAATCAATCATAAATACACATTTTTCTAAATATTTTCTACAGTTTTGAAAATTCACATTTTCTGGTGATTCTGTTAAATATGCACTACATATGGATGTACATCTAGCTCTGGGGATCTGTAAATTGGCTACAAATCTTCCTATACATTGTTCTCAATGCCATCCCTTAAAAAAAAAAAAATGTAACTTTGCACATGTTGCTCTCTTGTGGAGTCCAGTCCCCACAGATTTAACTAATATTGCAACACAAAAGCATTTGTAGGCTGATGGCAGCTTCAAAGCATGATTACCCAAGTGTTACAGTCCTCCTGGTAACAATCACAAATACTCAGCAAACACACCCTCCCTTTCCTTCTCCCACCTTGCTTACACTCTTGGTACTTAGCATGTGTGTGTGTGTGTGTGTGTGTGTGTGTGTGTGTGTGTGTGTGTGTGAGTGCACCTCAGTGGTTACACCTTGTGATGGTGCGCTCCCCTGGGTCTTTGATTGTAAATGAGCTGAACCCTGATGGGGGGCGGCATCAGCTGCTCTCCTCTTCTCTCCTCTCTAGCTCCCTCTCGGTTAAAAACAGTGAAGTCATACCTTCCTAGGGGCCTGTTTTTCTGCCATGATGTCACCATCAGCCAATCAACACGTAGCGTGGCTTGAGCTAGTGTGTGTGTGTGAGGAGGTGGGGGAGTGAGGGGGGGGCTCACCACTGGGAAAAGCACAGTTATCATCTGGTTCTGTCGTCAAGCATGAGAGCAAGTATGAACATCAGATCACAAATCCACAGGCTTCCTCTGATACACAGCCTCTCAATGATGTAATATACTCCATACATGTTACATAAGAGTGCTAGTAACCAGCATATGGGGGATAAGGTGTATTCACATTTCACACATATTCTATCTTTTGTATTGTATGTCCTCTGCTCGTGAAACAGCCTAGTAGGGTAATAGGGTCATTACATTACTGATGCTTGTAACCTAAGCGACTTACAATATGTAAGTGCAATGAACCAGCAATCAATAATTTAGAGAAGACTTAGTGCAACATACCCACCTCTTGCTATAGTTATTTTGGTCAGTCTAAGACCTTTTTTTTTACCCACTCATACTCATGCTATACTTTGCTACAGAATATACCACACTACGCAGATGTTACAGAGACAGTCCTGTTGGGTTCTTGTGCACAATGCCTTACACTGTTTACTCTCAGTAATTAGAGGAAATGCTGGCCATCATCTGTGTGCAGGAGTAATTAGCTGCCTGTCTTCCTTACAGCCACAGAGGGACGTGCATTGAGTACATGTGATTAGCTCAATCGCTAAAAGGCTACAATGCCGGGTTTCCACTTATAAAGCCAGGCAACATTGTAATTAGCCTGGGATCGATGTGGCTTCACAGACACACTACTGAGCTAACAGAGTGAATCCTTTTAGTAAAAAGGTTAAAGGTCCAACTATTATTGGACATCAGGTCATCATTACTGTCACATTCCTATTTTATGTTTTTGTCCGCCCACATTCTGTCAGACGAATTAGATGACTATGTGAAGATAAATCCATTTATGTGTCTGCAGGTGCCATTAATCTTTCTCTCCCCAGCCCCTTGTCCTTGGCTCTGTATTGGACCTGTCACTGGTCCTGAGTGATGGAACACGTATCTGAGCACATGTTTGTGTTATCGCTCTCATCCTGCTATAATCTCATGCTTTTACAAACACCCTCATGCTATTTTTCCTTGTAATCTTAGCCATCTAGTGTGCACGGTGGCATTTCTCTTGAAACTAATGGAATCTGTTAACCACTCCTACCTTGTTTACCTTCAATCGACTGATGTCTTGATAGCCTGAAGAAGCGAGAAATAGACTGTCAACACTGGCTCAAACAAGAATGAAGCTTGAGGGGAACATGTGCTTACACCCCCGTGCCTGAAATGCTAGAATTCTGGCAACTGCACCTGATGAATTTTTTTAAACACTCCAATGGAAGAGAGTTAGATGTGAATAGTGAATAAACATATTGTCTTATAGTGTCAAAGTATTACTTATACTTAAACAAAGCATGCATTTGTTACAATGCGTGCTTATCAACAAAAATTGTGGTGTTAATCACAATAATGACCTGAGATTAATCATGATTTAACAAGTTTATAATACTATTATTAACATACATGTAGAAGTGCGTCCGAAACTGGTCCGAGGAATCAGAGGGTTTTTCTACTTTATTTTTTCATCTATCATACATTTCGACAATTTCTGTATTATTTACATGAAATCTGCCAATGTTCCCAAATGTAGCTAAATCATCGACAAACCCGAGCAGTGACCACCTTCTGTGTGATGTGTGCTACACAGGACATATAGTATTATCTCTGCCGCTATCATACTGCGAGCATCCTCTGTTCCTACAGTGGTGTCCCTTTCTGCTATCTCACACTCCTGAAAACTTCTAGAAACTGGATCATGGTTAAAAAAAAATGCCTTTCTTCTGTTTCCATTACGCTTAAAGAACAAGAGCAGAACATTTGTTAAGGATCAGGTGTGCCGTTACACTTGTACCAAGTTGCACGCTTTCTTTTTCTTTTCACTGCCATGCAATTCATGACAAACATCCACGCTGGAATTATCGGAGAAAGTTGGGTTCACACTTGGTAATGTGATTAATTTGCGATAACCATTCCAGGTGAATAGTTTGAGATAACGCGTTAGCGTTTACAGGCCGTAGTAAAAATATGATACATTAATCAAAGACTTAAAAGTATTGGTCGTTTATCATTTTAATACGGTTTGATTTCCCTTTGTTGACCACGCTAACCTGTGGCTGTTCCCCCCCCAGGTGCCCAAGGAGTGCGAGAGGAGCCCCAGTTTGTGACGTCACGTGCAGGAGAGAACGTCATCCTGGGATGCGACGTGTCCCACCCCCTGAACGGCCAGCCCTACGTGGTGGAATGGTTCAAGTATGGAATGCCCATCCCCTTCTTCATCAACTTTCGCTTCTACCCTCCTCATGTGGACCCGGAATATGCCGGTAAGATGGTGAAGGCAGTTGCATCAAAACTGCAATCGGTGGCTTGATATGAAAAAACACTGCGAAACACAGTGATTTAGCTGCTATCTGTAGCTCTTTGAAGTCTAGAAGAAATAAAAAAATCCCTTTTCAACCCTTTCAGATATCCTCCATTTTACGGTGAACTTATTTTATATATGCAGAGTAGACCTTGTTTTTTCTGGCAAACACAATATTACGTGTGCTAGTACCAACCAATTTCAACCAATGATAGAAGACATCCATCCATCCATCAATCTGCAATTCTTAGCAACAATGGAGGTGTGTATGTCACTGTCCCCCAGGGGCGGACTGGGGGGAAAAAGTGGCCCGGGGATTAATTGACAGACAGGCCCACTTAATGCGCGGCATGTGTCGGCCGGCCGGCGACGAAAGTATGTTACTTAACAAAAAACCCTATGCATTTTATGTTATTTTGGACCATTATTCATATAGTAATCACATTACCTGAGCCCTTGAGTTGCATAGCAAAATAGTTTGCATATAACAGCATATATTTAGTGATTTTAATGTTAACAGATCATTGATGCAATAACATTTTGACCCAATTTGCCTGACTTGACACATGGAATAAAACATGGGCGTAGGAAGCATCCTCCAATGTGGGTGAGACAATTTAACAGTGGGTGTGGGCACCGGTGTGGACTCACCTCCCTCTAGGGGGTTCCGGGGTAACGGCTCCCCCTGGGAAAGATTTTTTTTTTTTAAATGTTTGAAGTTAAATGCATCAATCTGGTGCACTTTGAGAGCAAAATTAGGGACAAATCTATGGCAGTCAGTAGGGGTTGGACTGTAGCCGTTAGCGGTCGCGTATGCAAGTCGCTCGGACTCAGAACTATTGGGAGTGTGGACTTCTACTTCTAAGGTCCCAGTTCACCTCCCTGGCCTGCCGTGGTGCCCATTGAGCAAGGCGACCGGACATCCCCCTTCCCCTCACTCCATTGCTCCCCGGGCGCTGTCACAATAGCTGCCCACTGCCTCCTAGTACTAGACTCCTCCGACTAGGGATGGGTTAAAGCAGAGAACACCATTTCACTGCTGTGTGCTGTGTGCTCTGCATGTGTGGACCATTAAAGAGGTTTCATCCCTCCCACATTCGTCTTCTTCTTCTTCAACACCCATATAAAACAGGAACTGTAAACAATATTTACTTTTTTCTTTCAATATTTATTTGAACAGCAAGTGGGGCAAAAGTGACTGCACCCAAAACAATAAACCTGCTAGCGTAACTAGCCTAAAATCATAACAGCCACCGACCTCTGAGCAGAGTCAGTGCCCCTTTTCTATCCGACGGGTTACAGCTGTACGCCACCGCCCCTGAACCCTGGTGCCCTGCCACGCCCCCCCCCCCCGCCCCCCCCCCCACTGATTCCAAACCCCGTGCCGCACCAGGGCTCGCTACAATACTATATACTGTATACACAAACTACTTAACTAACAAAATCGTTTTTTTATATTTTTTTTTATGGCCTCCGGCCCACACCAGCACCGGGTCCACCGGGGAAAATCCGTATTCCAATGGCAGTCTTGCCCCGTGCTGTCCCTTTAACTCGTGCATTAAAGCTCCACCACAAGCCCCCACAACAGACTTTACAATCCCTCCTGAATTGTACACTGGGCTCAATTACCTTTCATTGCGTCACAGGACAGAAGCCAACAGTTCTGTTTCACAGGGAATTTAATCTGCGCGCCCCGCCAGATAATAATTGTGTTTTGGCTTGTTGTACTTCACTGAGGGTTTGATGGCTGAATGATGGCATGTGGAGAGGTTTCTATCTTACATTGATTTGCTCAACTTAAACTCAGTTGGTATCTCCTTGACAAACGGCAGATTTAGGGATGTTTGAAATCTAATTGTTAGTCCAGCAACAATGTACAAGTGGTGTGATGTGGTAACTGGCAGAGGTGGATGAATGTATCAGATCTTGTCTTAAGTAAAGGTAGAAAGTAACGACTGTAGGGAATAGCCTCTGTTACAGTAAAAGTCCTGAATTTTAAAATTTACTCAAGTAAAAGTAGCAACAATATTGTAGAATCGAAATACTTAAGTACCAAAAGTAAAATATCATTGTGGCCACCCAGTTGTTGCAAATATATATGATATGTTGTATAATATGACATGAAAGTGTTCTCAAAGCTGGCTAAAGTGGTTCAGCTAGTTTGACAGTGACTGGTCTGTGATATGCAGGGGGTAGCTTGTTAAACCCACAGGTGGAACCAAAGTTTGATTCAACACTTGTGATATTTCACCATCAGTAACTTAAAGGTACAAATAAATGTTAGTGAGAGTAACCTCCACGTCCAAAAATGGAAATCTCAAATACCCCAAATAAGCGTAGACGTTACCACCCGGGGAACAGTGCACATGAAGCCTTGTTCAGTGAAATGGAGACAGACACCGATTAGCATATTATGACTGTTCTGTTTTACTGGACTAGCAGCGTACTTATATAGCCACTGTGTTGGTCGTCAAGTCCTCAAAAATGTCCCCTTTATGGATGCTAGCAGTTTTGTCACGCCGAAGCCACTGCATGATTTGCATAAGGCATTAGTTCTTGTGAGGTTGTGCTATGGAATGCCTAGAAATAAAGGATAC